GGGGGGGGGGGGGGGGCGGCATCGGCGTACCGCTGATGCTTCTGGCGTCCCCGCCCGATGGTCGGCAGGAGCCGAGGCGTGTATGTCACCTCCCGTCGCAAAGTGCCTGGAAAAAGCATGCCCGCCACCCCTCGGCTTTGCAGTGCAAGCCCTCATACAAACACCCAGGCAGGCGCCCCAGACCGCCCGAACGCCGGCCGCGGACCCGGCGCCCGCCGTGCTGCCCGCCCGCTCGCGATGGCGGCGCGCAGAGGGGGGGAGGATGAGCGCGCGCGGCGCGCCTTGATGATGCCGGGCAGCAGGGTGAGCGCCGCCACCGCCAGGCCGAGCGCCAGCCAGGGCGAGTGCAGCAGCTCCCAAGCGTTGAAGTCGGCGATCGCGTCGGGCAGGTCGATAGAGATGGTCTTCGCCTGCGCCGCGGCGGGCGCCCAGGGCGCGAGGAGCGCGGCGGCGGCGGCGGCGAGCGCGTCGCCGCGGGCGAGGGCGTGGCTCGGCTCGTCGTCGGGGGGCGGCGTAATGTGGCTGCGTTCCGGGTCGGGCGCCACGCTGGCGGGGTCTGTATTTGGGGCTCGTGTCGGGGGTGCGTCACGCGGTCGGCGGCGCTCCACCGACACCGCATGCATGCGGGCGGCACGCGGCCGAACCGCCGGGCCCCGCAGCCCTGGTTGATGACGCCGTAGGAGCGGCAGCATCGCGGCGATGCTCTCGGCGTGGCGGGCCCTGCTTTGCGCGGCGTCGCTGACGGTGTCACCGCAGCGCAGGGCACACCAGGCGCAACGCAATCAGGAGCGTGCAGCAAGAGGGCGCCTGCATATATAGGTTAGCAGCCGTGATTAGGTGACAGTGCGCGTATATTTACAAGCTCATAGCGATGCTCTTGGATTGTCTCCGCGATCTGGTGAACGCAAGAGCCGTTGGCTGTTCTAGTGTGACAAGGCGTGTCGTAACAAGTATCAAAGCGCCATCAGAGGCATCTTGCACCTGCAAAGTCCCGGAGCGTGACGGACGCTTGGATCACTGCAGCTGATTGTGTTTGAGCAGCAGCCCTCGGCGCAGAGGGTGGGTTGTGAAGGAGAATTCGTGTAGTGAAGTGTCTGCAATTGCAGGTATGCTCACCTGGGGCCATGCGCTGCAGGGATCCTAAGGCATGCTGAGCGCGCCGTGCACTCCTGCCGCTGCTCGTGCTGCGCGCCCCATGCAATGTATCCGTGCCCCCGCACGCTGCATGTTTGCCTTCATCATCGCCCACAGGCGCGCCAGCATCCCGACGCGGCCGGCGCGCCGCACCGCGCCAGCGGAGGGGAGCCCCCCCTGCCTTGACAGCGGCGAGGCGCGCTGCAATGTCGCAAATGACGGGCGGGACGCAGGGGGGCGGCCCGCCCAGGATCAAAATCAAGCTCCCCATCAAGACTAAGCAGCAGCCCCCGCCCGGCGACGCCGGCGCCGCAGCCCCTCTGGCCGCCCCGCCGCCCTCCGCGTTCGCCGCGCCCGCCGGACACGCGCCGTTCGCCGAACCGCCGCAGCACGCAGCCCCGCGCCTCAAGCTGCGGCTGCCGCCGCTGACGGACGCAGCCGGCCGCGCGCGGCGGCACGCGCCCGGCGGCGACGGCGGCGACGGGGCCCCTCGCCCCTCCTCCGTGTCCCCGCCCCCGAGGCCGCAGCAGCAGCAGCAACAGCAGTACGCCGCGCCCTACAGCGCTGCCCCGGCGCAGCTGCTGCCGCCGGAGCTGCTGATGTCAGCGTCGGCGCCCGCCCAGCTGCCGGGCCTCGACGGCCTGCACGCCATCCCCCTCGGCGCCATACCCCTCGACGCCATCCCCTTCGGCGCCATCCCGCTCGGCGCGCTCCCGCTGGCCGCGGCCGCGTCCGCGCCGGCCGCGGCCCCGCCCCGGGCCGCGAAGAAGAAGGCGCCCGCGGCGCCGCGGCGCCGGCAGCGCGCGGGCAGCGACCCCGATTTTGAGGAGGAGGTCGCGGCCTGGGCGGGGGACGATCAGGAAGATGAGGACTTTGTATTGGATATGAACATTACGGATGACGACGATGACGACGATCTGCCGATGGATAGCGACGACTCGGAGGACGGCGGCCGGCGGCGGCGGCGGGGCAAGGGCGGCGGCGGCGGCGGCGGCGGCAAGAAGGGCGGCCGGCGCGGCCGCGGCGGCGGCGACGACCTCGGTTGGGGCGCGGCGGACGGGGAGTATGTGAACCCCCTGGATCTGGATTTCGAGCAGCTTGATAGGGAGGCGGCGGCGGCGGCCGCGGAGGCGGCGGCCAAGCCGAAAGCGCCCAAAGCGCCGCGGCCGCCGAAGCCCAAGCGCGAGGAGAGCGAGGGCGCGGGGGCGGCGGCGGCGGCGGGGCCGGCGGAAGGCGGGCGGGCGGAAGAGGGCGCGGAAGCGAGCGGCGGTGTTGCGGCGGCTCCGCCGCCGGAGAGGAAGCGGCCGGCCAAGGCGGCCGACGGCGGCGGCGGCGGCGATTACGCGCCGAGCAGCGACGAGGATTACGAGATGGACCTGGCTATGGAGGACAACGAGGAGGACGAGGACTTTGACGTGGTGCTGGAGGTGGGTGATCTGATCTGATCTGATCTGATCGGATCTGATGTGGCGCGTGACCTGTTGTATGCCTAGGGGCTACGGCCTGTGGTGTGAAGACTCAGTGAAGCTTTGGGTGGTCGCGTTGTTGTGGGTGTGATGTCATGGGTTGTGCAGGGTACGTGGAGGGGGCGGCCCCGGGACGAGGGGAGCGGGCTGCGTTGCGGTGGGGGGCCAGCAAACGGAAGTGCGACCAGTGCAGCATGCGCTGGGCGGCTGACGCGCGGGGCCGGCTGCGTCGTGATGGACTTGCCCCCGCCCCGAAAC